ACAGCTGTTGGAGCATCTCCTGACGTGGTTCCAGTAGCCTCTACAAGTTGTCGATGCTCCGTTTGCTGTCCCGCAGCGGTCTTCGTGTTCCCGACGTATGGTGGTGGTCGCTCATCATCATCATGAGGAGGGGGTTACAAGGAATCATTGCTATCACGTCGCCCGTACGTAGACGACCGCATCATTTCTAATTCCGTATCACGCTCGACAATACCCAATAGTCCATCGGTCTTGTTGAGTGGTGCGAGGTCGGAATCTCGCGGAGGGCGGAGGCCAATTCGCCCAATGGCACCTCCATCCTTGAGTTGCTGGCCGATCCGGGCGATTGCCAAGCCATCCAACGTCGACGTCCAGACCCTAGAGCTGTAAATGTACATTAATAGTAGAAGTATCATGAATACCTGCAATGCGAGTAGAAAGGTGACAGCAATGAAACCCCCCATGCCAATAGTAGAGTTAGTGACTAGATTACCAAGGTCAGTTTTAACAACATCCCAGTGTGGTGGCAAGTGTCAGCCATGCCTCGTTGGAAAAGAACATCGATGTTTCCAGGATCCTTTTTCCATGACCTAGGTTTAATGGCTCCAGGTGCGCGTACATGATATTGGCTACCGCACCGGCATATATACTCTCCCGTCCCTCCTGGGTGACATTTCTTGAGTAACCATCTACTCTATAATAGTTGCAGTGGTTTTCTGGATACGTAGCGAATTGACGGAAGGGAAAAAGCCACTCGCCGCATATCCTATGGAAAATGTCTTCTGCAGTCTCGTTGGTCATACTCAGCGCACTGTCAAAAAAGGTTCCTTTGGCAAACAGTGCTAGTGCTGCTGTCATGAGTGGACCAGCCGCAGGTCGGACACCACGATCATCATAATACGCCGGATTGTCACGTCTACGAAGATCTTGGTGGTTAATCGAGCACGTGGTAGAACCGGAACGATTTCTCCAACTAACCTTCCATAGTAAAAATCATCACTGAAGTCATAGAACTCAGGAAAACCTGGGAGGAATGGACCATACTCATCGTTGTTGGCGCGATTTCCAAGTTCGAAGTATCCAAGAGTATACTGCGCATCGTGGCGTATGGTGAATGTTTGTGGATGATCCCACGAAACTTTCAAAGAAGCTGGGGCCTTCACTTCTAAATATAGCTGCTCCGTTATGGTTCGCCTATCCCTTGTTTCCGGCCAAGGATACTCGTCATACGCTCCAGGAACGCAAATCTTAAACTCTAGTAAATCAGGATTTGTTAAATTTGCGGTGAAAGGTCTTGCACCACCATAAGTGGATGGAAAGTTCGTCTCGTTCAAGCAGCTTACGCTGCTATTCACTCGGGTCGCAAAATTTCTCACCAAGCCGGTCGTAGTGCCATTTTCTGCAGTTGTGGCAAAGTACGATACATTCGTGATCTCAGATTTCAAGGTGTCATAACAGTAACTGGGCGCATCATAATAGTTAATGAAACTGTTCCAGATCCTCGGGTTGCGCTAGGAATTATAGGACGATTCTTCTAATGTCGCCGGCCCGTCTCTCCACATGCGGCTGATAGTCGCCCCATTGTACATTAATCATATTGAACTTTGCTTTCTCGACAATTCCAAATTGTTCTACACGCTTCATAGGGCCAGGCTGGGGATCAAGTTCGACTGCAAGTTCCTGACCGGAGGGTACCCGTAATGTCGTAGTGGACACTACTAGCGACTTGATCGGAGTAACGCACGCTGGAGACAGATTAGCAAACCAACCCAGTCTATGCGAAGCTGGAGCCGACGAACCAAGTATAAGTAGCAGAGTTGCGTATAATGCCAACGTGATTCTCTCTTCAGTACGGATTGAACTCTCTATGAAACGGTCGTCTGCAAGGGCGAAGAGTTGTCGGGCATTCAGCATCTGTCCTGGCCGACTGCGCTGTGAATATACAACTACTGATTGTAACAGCTGGTACATCACGGCAGGGACCGCGACGACTGCTCCCAATGCATCAAGAAACTTGGCAGCGTCGAGTCTAGCCTTGAACGTAATTCTTCGGGCATCGAGGTCATAGCCGCGGTCGTCTTCGTTTATCTCCATCCATATCGATAAGTTGGCCAGAATGCTAGATGACACTTTACCTCTGATGCATATACTTGGGGCTTTCCAAATTAGCCAAGTACCGTCCGTCGATGAAAATTAAAAGAAAAGAGCAAGCAACCGTCACACTTTACAAATCCACCTCCAGGATGGAATATCGCGGACCAGGCCTGGAGCATTTGAGGGGTGAGTATATGGGAAGTGTGTGAACACCTTCTAAAGGAAAAAAAGCTGGAAATTTGCAGAAGGGAGTTATCCTTCCCTTATTCTTGTTGGCTAGCGGCGCAATGAGTAAGGACCGCACGAAGCACCCCAGCAATCAGAGCTAACGCATCGCGTTTTATTCACAAGATAAGAACCAAAAATAATCACCATCGGGCTTTCCATGAAGTAGAAGCAACAGCTAGAGAGTCCGCAACCTAGCTCGGCAAACTTGGCTAGACTGAAATACGTTATCACTCGCTCCTATAAGTAGAACCGTGAGATCCAACAATCTAGGACGGATCTTTGTGTAGTAATATTAGTGAAAGAGAAGTCAGGTTTGTCAACAATTAACATCAATGGTCTCGTAGATATCTGCGAAGACCCCGAGAGTCATTCCCATAATATAGTACGTAGCTTGACAAAAGAAAAGATGTTAACCTTAATAACTATATAAACAATAAATCCTCAGAATTCAGTATTGGACTCCATTTCCAAACCGTTACCACCTGAAACAGGAATTATGATTTAGTCTCACCGTTCATTGCTTCAGCGTAACTCGGAAGAGGCTCTGATCGTATCGATGAAGCGCTGCTTTCCGGCCTGACTGAGTCGGAATCATCGCTGCCCATGACCTCCTTTCTTGCAAATTTCTTTGCTTCGAAGTTGTTATTTACCTCGTCCGTGTTCTCTTCTGATGTCTTGTTGTTGCCATCTGTTGCTATCTTAATATCCCTGGCCGGCTTAACATCATCCGTCACTGAGGCCGCCTTTATTATTTTTGATTGTCTCGCTCTGTGCCTACTACGTAAGAGAAGATAACCTATTACTAGGATTAGGACGGCAGTGCAAGCTACTCCACCCACACCAGCTCCAATCATCATTCCGTTATCCTTTCCTGCGTCCGTACTACTCGACAACGACGTGGGCCCCGAATCAGATGTAGGAACCGCAGTCATGGCGCCTGACTTGCTCGCCGAGAACACAATGGTGACATCCGAGCCTGTCATGGTAGAAAGCATTGTGGGAGCAAGAGTTGCGCTAGTCGTGGTTCTGTGCCCTTGGCAAGGACCCCATGACTTTGGATTATAAGTCAGGCGAACGTATGAGCACTACCAAGACAAATGAGTGAGTCAGGTTCAGCTAGGCAAACAAAATTAAGTTTCTCACTTATCGAAACCGGAACTTACCACATTCATAATTGCTTGAGTATCTGAGCCTGCCTCTCCAAAAACTACAAGCTCCGCCCCAAAGGTAGCGTTCATACCCTCGAGGTCGGGCAGGTACGCCACTTCATACGGATAATCGTAAACACTTTTGGTGAGATTAATGGCATAATCTCCCAGAGGGCCATATGTCGGGGTGCAGAATGAGCCTAGGTCTGCTCTAAAATCTGTAGCATTCCAGTACCAATAATCAACCAAGACGGAGTTGTCCTGGCTTATAGTCATATTGTTGTCAAACTGTCCAAAGTGGTAATTCACCATGAAATCCCCATCGAGAGGAACTGTGGAAGAGGCGCCTAGCACGGTCAAGTTGAACTCTATTTGTCCGCCCACAATGGGGAAGTCCAGTCGATCGACGTTATCTGGGATGGGAAGATGTGCACATGGGAATCCGCTGTCACCCGAGACTTCTGCTGGGCTTACAGTCACGCTGTTGACCACGACTTCCTTCTCGGCTTGCGGGGGCGGCCAGAGTAGATCAAGCCGCGAGTTCTGCCCAACCCACGCCAGCCCAAGAGATAAATGAGAGACGACGATAAACGCAACAAAATGCATTTTTGAGTCTAGGCTAGGGGCCTATCGCCCTACGTAGGGAAAGATCTCAAGTAGCGTATGGTTCGCTTCGAATGTAACCATTGCATTCTCAAGTTCTCCTCACCTGATCCCTAGAGGGGTTGCCACATAGATAACCCTACTTTCTGGATAAGAGTCCATCAAGCCCAACCAATCAGTAACTTTTAGAACCGATCTCAAAGGAGGGGTAACGATCATAAAGCTACGCCGCACACCAGCATACACGAAGACATGCTTGGCAGCCTCACTGAGCTTCCAAACGACTGGCACAAAGTCGCGAAAACATGACTATTATGCCACTTGAAGTCCTTTAAAATAAAGGATACAAGCTAGAAGTTTAGAATTGAAATTATTGCGTTTAATGGATATCGCGACGCAGGGACTTGTCGAGCTCAACTACTCCAAGCTGCACAAGCTGTTTGAATTGGAGCACTCTATGCCCGAAGAGTCTCCCTGTCGTCCCATTTTGCGTACCCCAAAGGAGTAAAGAAGTCTGCCTATGGGTTGTGTATAAGATACCATCATTTGTGGAGAATGACTCGCATTAGGGAGGACCCAGCTCTTGAAGTTCCTGTTATCAAGAGCAAATTTGAGTAATTGAAGACAGCGCCAAGAGCTACTGAAAGTCAAACCTCATTCAATGCAACCTGCCACTGACTTGCATCAAAGATTTCACTAGGTAATTGATGAATTTAAACACACATCACGTAGTCATTCCAGTAAATTAAATTGATAATTATTCCGCACAGCATTTGAGTAGCTTTGCCCTCTGCAATCTTCATTGCCGGAAATGTTGAGTTACGCTCCTGCCCAAGCCCGGCGTCGACATCGAATTCTGATAATAATAAATAGTGGACATTCTGTGCCTATGGAAATCCATACCACAATGTAATACTGTCATAAGGCTGAAGCTTTTCTGTCCAAGTACTAAGCCTTGAACAATGAGGTGTCGATGACCGCAACCTTGCCGCCCTCGACTTGGGTTCCATTGACGGGACCTCCAAGGCCACCATTTGTAACAACGTAAAGCATGTGCTCGTTTCCAGGTTTTCTGTCGAATTGGCAAGCTGTCACCCCAGCGATTTCTAAACGATCTAATTGTCCGGCAACAGTCACTGCGTCACCCGCTGCCTTAACCACTGCGATGGTGTTAAATGGATTTCGTGCAATCCATGCATTATCGTCCATATCGAAGCAAAAATCATCACCAATTAGTCCTTGTTTGATAATCTCCACTTCCCCTGCAGCTGTACCATCCTCGCTAACCTCTACTCTACAGAACAGTGCCTTTGAGGTGTTGGTCCAGTAGAGATATCCCTTATGCACTGAAATACCATTGATCGCAATGGGAATGAATGGCTGGTCTGGATTCTTCATCTCATCAACCTCAACTGCTGTCTCATGTGACCCATTCACAAGGTCAATCTTGAACACAGCACCGGCTTCGCAATCAGCGGCGAGAATGACTTTTTCAGTCTTTGACAGTAGCTCTAGTCCGTTCGGCATGCCGATCTTGTCGAGCCTTATGACTTCTGTTACTATAGCCTTACTGTCACGGCCGTAATCTGTCATATCTACCTCCCATAATTTATATGATCCTGATTGGTTGACAAACGTCTTGAGATCGAAGTTGCCTCCTACGACATAGAACTTGTCGTGCTCCACTTCAATGATCCCCGACATACCTGTGACATCGGAGAACCTGTGAATCAGAGCTGCCTTGGAGGGATCGGCAGGATCAATAAGGAATACCTCAGCTGCCGAGGAAAGAGTGACCAGAATTTGGCCGTTTGATCGTACAGCGAGATTTTCGACCCATGACGGCATCGGGAATTGGTGAATAACCCGGGAGGGTAGAAGGGGATTCAGGGTACTGACTGTGTCTGCCATGATAATATTCTAGGTCCTGAAATGCTTTTCACAAAGGTTGATGATGAGAAGGAAGAATGAGGGCATGAAGGCTTGCCAAAGGGCGGAAAGCTCGAGGCATTAAATAACATGCTGATTCGGTCTTTCGGAACAATTCAGAATTACACCTTAGAAGTAGATACATAAGCATAATCCGGGACACTTCTCTGCAAGATAGAAAGTGATGGAGGCCATATCACAACATGGTAATCCAACGGGACGGGATCGACCAATGGGAGCGAATTGTCACAACCACTGCCCAGACGAGTGGAATCCTCCTAATTGAGTGCGGCTCCGCTAGCCAGTTTAGTACTAGCTCATTCTCTCCAACCGCTAAATGTCCGCTCCGACTCCGTGACTAAGCCATGTCATAGGTCGACCCGGACCCCGCGACCCCATTGTGTAGCCACGGGGTTGTTTGATACTTCCAATGCGAGATAATCATCTTTCTGAGGACAAGCCTGACCCTACAAGCAAGAGGGTACACGTATACTTCCTATCTACTATTGCCGGCTAGGCTAGTCACTTCCAAGTTCTGCGCCAACACCTCAACAGTTGGGCGGTGCCCAACTGCGTGGCCTATCAAGCCAGCCGGCACATCCAAATGCCGTCGGGCTCACGAACGAGGACTGGCTGCTACACCTGCCGCATCCGCAAGAAGAAATGCGACGAGCAGAAACCCTGCTGTGGGAACTGTCAAGCCCGGAGCCTCCCATGTTATGGCTACGAGACCGCTCCACCGGACTGGATGCAGGGTAGGCGCAACTGGAAGGAGGTTATGCTTACCGACGAAGCCCGAGAGCTTCAATCAATCGCGGAGATGAAGTACAAAGCAAGCCGCCGTAACGGGAAAGTGAGGCTAGAGGCGGATACACAGACGGGAGTTGCACCACTTTGCCAACTTTCGCACGGACTCTCAATATCTAAAAGCAAGACGCCACATATCCCTGATTCTCTCTGGTGGGATGGTGGCCTCTGCACAATACTGCCTTTTTACAAATCCCCACACGAGGATGCGCGCCTGCTCAAGCTTTACCTGGATTTTGTGTTTCCAATACAATTCACTTTCTATCCCATGTCCACTACAGTAGACCGAAGCTGGCTTGTTCGCGGGTTGTGCAGTAACCAGGCTCGTTACCATGCTGCATTGACCATCAGTGCCTCTTTTGATGCATCAATGCGAGAACCGCAAAGAACCGATGGTATTGGGTTGAGTTTAGAGGTTATGGAGCGACAGACTGTTGCCTCGTCGGGACTACAGGATATCATCAAGCAACTCGATCAGCGCCGGGACCCGCCGAAAGAAGTCGCCAGAATCAGTTTGCAGATTTTAGAAGTTATGCATCAACTGCTCAGCTTGGAGGTGTTCAGCATGCTGGAGGGGGCTTGGGAAATCCATCACAAAGCAACTAGGGTTTTACTCAACACACTACACACCTACAAGCTCTCAAGTTCAGGTGATGAAATCGATGTCGCAATGCAACCATCCCCACTCGAAATAGCGCTGAGGGACTTTTCGTCTCCAGAAATTCAAAAGAACTTCGAGTTTCATGTTACCTGTGTTGTTTGGGTCGATATCATAGCCAACGCAACATTTGGCTCTCCTCAGCAAAGCCCTCGACACTTTGATTATATCCCTTACCTTCGTACCAATGAACTTAAAACTCATAATATCATGGGATGTCACTCATCAGTGATGGCCGATATTGCAGAGATCACGAACCTTACCGATTGGATGACCCACCATTCTTTGATCAAGTCTCTAGATACAAAAGAACTCTCCACTCGTACCGCCGTGATAGCTAATCGGCTTGCAGACCGGGTTCGAGGGTTGGAGAAACAATCAGACCTTTACATGGCGAAGACTGAAGCGGGAAGCCGCTCGGTAACCCTACAGTTCGCTTGGGCTGCACAGATCTATCTGCACGTCATCCTTTTCGGTGCCGATGCTGAGAATCCCGAAATCATGTTTCGAGTTGGCCGGAGCCTCGAAATGTTAGAAAAGCTCCCGAACTGGCTGATGATTCGTGTTAATTGGGCGTTTACGATCGTAGGATGTTTGGCAGGGAAGAACCTATACGATAGGTTCAGAGGCTTGGTAGGAAGAATGGCAGCGCAAAAGCAGCCTTTGGGAATGACTTGGAAAGGCTTGATGGTTATGGAGGAATGTTGGCGTTTGAGACAATCTCGACCCGAAGTAAGTGCATATTGCGATTGGAGGGAGGCGATGAAGAGTCTGGGGAAAAGAATTCTCCTTGTATGAGATCCACCTTGATCTATCTACATAGTACTAGTTGACTATCTTGAATACTACTAGATATAGTGGCCACTTTTCTTAAGTTTATCCATCCTGAGACAGTAAACTACAACAGTACGTCATACCGTCCTATTATCGATATACGACTTAGGATTATCACAATTCTTTCAAGTCAAGAGGATGGAAGTATGGAGACTGAACACCAAGGATACCTTTATTCGCCGTTATGATATATCCCATTTATTCCATCAAGTCTAATGGACTATCTTGTAAATTTTGCAGAACTGTAGGATCGTCATTGTTTGGCGCCCAGTACTGGAAGCTTGCGATATTATCTAGAATTGGATCTACTTGGCAAAGATAATGGTTGTCGACAGAGGTTGAAAAGCTCTGGGGGGCAGCCGCTGGCTGCTGGTGACTCCTGTAAGGCGACTGCAGCAACAAGGATGACAGATCACCATTTGAAGACTCCTGCTGGTTCGTAGTAGCGGTAGTCACCTGGTGTGTGACCTGTGACTGTTTATCAAGACTATGACACAATACCATGGGGCTCAGCCCAAGCCCCGGCTTGAAAATATCGTCTTGAATAAATTCACAGTCCTCAGAAGAGTTTTCTTTGCTGAGTATAGGGTCATCTAGATTGATTATAACGTTTCCGAAGTATGGTATCCGCACTTCTAGCACATTTTTACGTTCAGCCAGGGCGCTGTCTCTTGAGAGACTTGAGCACTGGATCGTATAGTGTAGGCCACGAGAAGCTTGCAATTCGATAGCGAGCAATTGCTCGAGTATATCAACACCTCTTTTACCAAGTATATCTTCGCAAGTGCGACTGATCTTGCTCATGCTGTCCAGCGCCTTTTTCGTCATAGCTCTGTCGGTCAGGCGTTGGTGTGCGAGAATATTATGGGTTGGCGGCATGCGGTAACTGTCAATGTGTGCTAAGAGGAGGGTTACGGCCGCTGTCAGAGCGAAGTAATCCGCCGCCCGGCAGCATGATGCGATAGTATTGCCGCTCCGGAAAACAATGAAGCGCGACAGAACTTCACGACAGGAGTTGATACAGATAACCTTGCTGTACATGGAGGGGTGGTCTGTGGACGCCCGTAGTAGATAAGGAACATGAAGCTGGAGAAGTAGGAAGTAGTGGAAAAGTTGATTGGACAAGCGGAGAAGTGTCCAGAACATCCCAATATTGTCGGTGACGCCTGCTAGGTCCGGTATTAGCCACCAATGGGGTGCCATGGTCTTGGCCGCTTCTCGAAGCTTGACGTCAATCTCCTGGGTTACTAAGATGTTTTGGAAATATGAATTTCTCTCGTTGCGGCTCAATATGTTGGATACTATGTCGCAATGTAGGCGTTCTAGCCGCTCCATGGGGTGCGGCTTAGCCATCAGGAGATCCTCGCTGACTATGCTATTGTCTAGAGAACCTTGTGGCATGCCGAGGAGAATACAGATAAGGCGCTCCAGATATAGGATTCGAAACCACATGACATTTGGATCCGCCTTAGTATCGGGGTCGATGAACTTCAGAGAGGTATGCTCCCCTCGATGGATGCCGAGGAGTTGAGCAACCACAATTGACCGTCGAAAGGCAACTAGAGCTAGTCGCAGCTTTCCAGAGTTCGCCCAAAGTACTCCCTCAAGTATGATACACTCGAGTCCTTCTATGGTCTCTATGAGGTCATCGTTAGTAGGAATGAGTGAGAGTGCCGATTCGGCGAATGACAGACACCCTCCATCTTGTGCCTCGTCAGAGCTCTGACGAAGGTTCTGAAGAAAGATGGCGAGGATTAACATCCTTCTAGCGACTAGAATCGGATGAGATGTTGACTTCAGAAGATGTGCCCATTGTTGTGGGCTTTCTAAACCATTTGTCTCCAGGTGATTGTGTGACTGAACCAAAATCTGATGAAGATAGCCCGAGACATTGCCATCACGCTGCCATATGATATTCGCATCTTCGAAGAATGGCAACGAGGTACGAAATTCTTGGAAAACTCCCGAGTATTTCCCTTTCTGGAGCCGCGGTTCCGAGGTAGTCTCTGGTATATCGCCAGTACCGGGCGTTGACTCTTTGTTCTAGACTAGACTCAATAATAATATTGGGATAGATAAGCGGTATAATGACTTACCGTACGTTGTATTCTGTAGTCTTCGCAATGATCAAGCTCTCGCATAGACTCAGATATGCGTAGCACACTTGAGTCTTCCCTCCCGATTCCTGCATCTGCTGGTAGAGCATTGGGAGGCAAGGCTGCATCTGAAGGCTTAGTTGGGATACGAGCTTCATGAACCAGCTGTTCAACAAGCGCTTGAACTCGATCAAGGCGATCTTCCCTCCGGTAACGGCGCTTCCGGGTATGGGGGCTTTTGTCGTCGAATTCTTGACTTATACAAGCCGTTTCACGTTGCTTGCAACCAAGACAAACCGTCTCAGCCGAGCTTGCACCATCAAAAATGCAGCGGATCTTACGACGTTTGCACTGCCAGCAGCTTCGCGTGCCCTTCCGGATCTTCCTCCGCGCCGTCCCAGGTGCTTCGTCCGCTAATGGGGTAGGATTACCTCCATTGGCGGCCATTTTCATTCATCACCAGGATACACAATAGAGGTACTGAACCTTGAAAAGTCTGCGAAACAATGCACCTCTAAATTCTG